TTTTCAAGATCCAAAGATAGCTTCTGGGGTTCATAAGTGTATGACCCTATGCCTTGCAATGCATTTACACACTCAACATAGCCATCACTCTTCATTAAGGTTGAGCAAAACGGCTTCCAATTTGTCTTCAACGTTCATTTTGGCACTAACATCATCAACAATCATGTCCGTCACCAAATCCATGAACGAACAAACTTCATTACTATTCGGTTGCGTCATTGATTTGCACACATGGAAGACCACCTTTTCTTCACCCACTCAGAAAGCGAGCTCACCGGCTTACACATCAGCAAGAGCCTTCCCCGTAGAAAGGAAAGGTGTACCCAAAATGATAGGCACCTCATAGTCCACTTCACAATCAAGGATCAAAAGTCCGCCAGGAGGATGAACTTGTCAACTCGAACCAATACATCATCAATAATACCCAAAGGCCTCTTCATTTTTCGATCCGCCATTTGCATCCTCATGGATGTGGGTCTTGGTTTCCCAATTCCCAAAGTGTTGAACACCGAATAGGGCATCAAGTTGATACTTGGCCCGAGATCACATATGCTTTGGCAAAATCGGCGCTCCCAATAGTATAAAGGATTGTGAAAGCGCCCGGATCTTCCAACTTTGGAGCCATCGAGTGCACGATAGCACTCACTTGATGAGTCATCTTGATGGTCTCACAATTCATTGATCTCTTCTTGGTTACCAAATCCTTCATGAATTTTGCATATCCCGGCATTTATTCTAATGCCTTAACCAATGGCACATTAATAGACAAACTCTTCATGATATCAATAAACTTTTGAATTGGTTTTCACTGTTTTGCTTTGCAAGACTTTGAGGGTATGGAGGAGGAGGCCTAGGCATTGGTGCCTTAGCCTTTGACACTACCAGTTCCGGCATGTCAATCACGTGTTCCCTAGATGGATTCACTTCTTCTTGCATCTCCTCCACACTTTCATCTATATCAATTCTAACTTCTTCATTAGCTTGAACCACATTGCTTGGGATTTCATCTTCTTGAACCATAATATCTTCATCCATAATCCTTCTTTGATTTGAGGTGGTTGCATCTCCACCATTTCCAGTTCTAGTAGTCACGGCCATAGCATGTCGAGTATTATTCCCACCCTTCGGGTTTACAACTGTATCACTAGGTAGTTCTCTTTTAGGACGAGTGTTCAAAGCTTGTGAGATTTGGCCTAATTGAGCCTCCAAATTCCGAATAGAAGTGTTGTGTGAGGCTAATTGAGCATCGGAGTCGGCTTCTCCATCATTTGTTTAAACATGTTTTCAATTCTACCCATCTCATTGAAAGAAGAGCTCGGGCCTTGAGAAGGATAGCGAGGTGGATTGCTTGGTTGTTAGAACATCGGGGGCCTTTGAAAACCCGACCCCGGGTTGTTGTTGTTGTTCCACCGTCCTTGGTTATTTGCTCCCCAATTGCTTTGATTGTTGCCACCCCAATTGCCTTGATTTCCTTGATTGTTCCAATTTCCTTGATTAGGATTTCCACCACTCCAATTGCCTTGGTGGTTTTGGTTGTTCCAATTACCTTGGTTCCCTTGTGACCTCCATTTTTTGTTGATTTTGTCCCTGAGCATTGTTTCTTTGACCTTGATAATTGTTGACATATTGAACTTCTTCTTCTGGCTCATTGAAGAAATCACCTTGATCATAACCACTATCATCTTGAATAAATTGTTTCGGATGGTTTTCCATTTGTTGACCTTGTTGTCATCTTTTGTTTACCATCACATTCACACCTTCCATTGCATGCAATTGTTTCAGCCCTTGAACTTGTTGAAGCTGAGCTTTGGCCTATTGGTTCATGGTAGTTGTCAACTCAGTAATAGCTTGCCCATGATCATGTAGCTCCTTGTGTAGGTGAATAACATTAAGGTCACCTTGCGGAACATTGGCTCTACTTTGCCATGCCGAAGTGGCATCCACCATCTCATCAAGAATTTCGCAAGCTTCGATGTAAGGAGCGTACATGAAGTTCCCCTCGGCGAGTTGGTTAACCACATGATTAGTTGTGTTGATCCCCCTGTAAAAGGTCTGTTGGATCATGGCCTCAGTCATATCATTGTTCGGGCACTCTGTAACCATGGCACGATATCTTTCCAAAATCTCGTGCAATGGCTCATTGGGTTCTTGCTTGAGTGCAAGAATCTCATCTCGATGCGTCGCCATATGTCCCGGAGAGAATAATTTGGAAATGTACTTCTCCGCCAACTCATTCCAAGTGTGGATGGAATGGTTGGGCAACCTCTCTAACCGGTCCAATGCCTTTCCCCGTAGAGAAAAGGGAAATAGCCTCAACCTAACCGCGTCCTCGGATACATTTGTTTGCTTGAACCCCTCGAGATGCTTGTAGGCATTTTTATTCGGAGCCCTAGTGAAGAATCCCCATTGCTCAAGTTGTGCAAGCATCACGTTGGTGATTAGAAAGTTGCCCGCCCTAATGCGGGGTGGGACTATAGCACTTGCATAACCCTTGTTTGGCAATTATTGGTCGGCTGCCGCTCTTGGTGGAGGTGGGGGAGAGGCGGGCACATTATCTTGAGACGGGCGGCCTCGTCTATTATCTTGAGGTTCAAGAAGAACCTTCTTAACTTGATCATCGTCCACTTCCTCCCCAATGGCACATTTCCGATGGGCTCGTTGTTGAGAGCCATTTTCGAACCTAAAATCAATTAAAAAACAAAATTAGTGACTTGGAAGGAAAAGAAGACAAAGAACACAAAAACCCTAGATGTATAGCTAAATTCGTTTAACTCCCCAACAACAGCGCCAAAAATTGATGTCGCCCGAACTCACACCACAATTATAGGTAGTGAGGCGATCGAAGCAATAATAAAACCCAACGTGAGTCGGGGTCGATTCCTTAGGGAGTTAGAATTGGGATTAGGTATGCATCTAGTGTAGTTGTATAATGTGCCTCAATTTGCACTTCCACATTCTTGCTGGTTGTTTCTATTTCTACTTTAAACTATTGATTGCAATTAATAAACTAGAAGACAATATATTTGGTTTTGGTTGTTTTTCAAATGATAAAGGATCTAGGGTTATGACTTCCACCTAGGTGGTTACCTAACGGATTGTAAACTCTAGGGCACTCTATACCTCTCGGTAGTTTGAGTAATTTTGCCCAATTTGGCTTTCTCAAGTCCAAATGGGTATTGCACAAATCAAGTGATATATGCTCAAGTCGGGTCTTACTATCTCTAGATTTGACCCTTTAATTGGGGCTATCAATTTCTAGAGTTAACCCCAATTCGTTGTTAGCCAAGTTATCCTAGACTTAGTCTCTCTTTCTCAAGTAGAGACAACTCAAATAGGCATGAATCAATGTTTGCAACCATTAATTCTAGAATTCAAGCATAAACAAGGCTAAATATTGCTAACCCATTAATAAACAAGCCCTAAATTAAATACCCATCAAGTACCCACACTAGGGTTGGGCCCCAACCCTAGCTAAAGATTTAGCTACTCATGAAAAATAAAGAAATACAAGAAGAAATTAAGATAGAATGCATAATAATTGATTAGATAAAGAAAATATAATGTTTAGAAGTTAATCTAGTACTAAATTACTCAAAACAGTAAAGAAAAACCCTCAGGTGCGCTTCGAAAAACTCAACTTAACCTAAAAATGACAAAAAGTTCTATTTATACTAAGCTGAAAATAACTGACAAAAAGGCCCATGCGAAGGTTTTGCGGCCTCATAATTCTGGTTCGGTCCTACTATGAGCTTCTGCGGACGCACAATTATCGTGCGGTCCGCATTCTATGGAACTTGGGCTTGGAACTTCGGGGCTTCTGCGATTCGCATAAAATGGGTGCGGCCGCACTTCTGATTATGCGGCCGCACAAAATGATGCGGTCCTCACTTCCTGCTTTTGGACTTGAAACAGCTCTCTGATTCTTCAATCCTGTGGACCGCATAATAATGAATGTGGCTGCACTTGACCTCCTGCTGCCGCACAATTTCGGCGCGGTCCGCATGCCTTAAGCTGGCCCAAACACTAATCTCTGAATCCCTTCTCTACGGTCGCACTAGAATTCTGCGGTCCACACTGCTGACCTTTTTGCCCTATTTTGGTTCTTGTTCACTTTTGACTCCTTTATAAGTTGATTTTGACTTCTTTGGCTTGTTTCCCAATATTCCTGCAAGTAAGCACATTTCGTTAGTTTTCGGGAATACTTTTAACCATTTTTAAGCTAAAAAACAAGTAAAAGAGAGCAAATAAGCGGTCAAAATCCCTACTTATCAGAGATCCATAGGAAGGAATCACTACTAGAAGATCTCAGAAGAACAAATCACTTGTGGCTCTTATTTCTTAACTTGAACCAAAGAAAGTGGATGAAGCTCTGAAAGATACTCATTGGATAAAGGCTACGAAAGAGGAACTTGATCAGTTTGAAAGAAATAAAGTATGGGAATTGGTTCCAAGACCTCAAATTCCTCAGTCATAGGAACTAAATGGGTATTCAGAAATAAATTGAATGAATTTGGTCAAGGGGTTCGAAATAAAGCAAGGCTGGTTGCTCAAGGATACTCCCGGCAAGAAGGAATCGACTTTGATGAAACCTTTGTGCCTGTAGCAAGACTCGAATCTATACAAATACTACTTGCCTTTGCTGCTCACAAAGGATTCAAGCTATTTTAAATCGATGTTAAAAGTACATTCATGAATGGATATATCTCTGAAGAAGTATATGTGAAGCAACCCCCAGGATTCGCGAACGACGCTTTCCCTGATCATAATATAAGAAGACTAAAGCTTTGAACGATCTCAAACAAGCTCCTTGTGCCTGGTATGAAAGGTTAAGCTCTTTTCTTCTTAATCAAGGTTTCAAACGAGGTAATATCGATACAACTTTGTTCATTAAGCATTCTAGTTCAGGTAATCTTATTACTCAAATTTATGTTGATGATATAATCTTTGGTAGCCCTAACTCTGTTTTATGTGAAGAATTTTCTCTCTCTATGAAAGGAGAAATGAGCATGATGGGAGAATTAACTTTTTTTCTCGGGCTTCAAATCAAACAGTCTCCTAAGGGGATTTTCATTAGCCAAACCAAGTATACTAAGAAACTTATAAAGAAGTTTGGCATGGAGAATGCTAAGTCGATCGGTACCCCAGTTAATCCAACAACGATGCTCGATGAAGACAGCGATGGAAAGAATGTGGATGAAACCATGTATAGAGGGATGATTGGTTCCTTGTTATATCTCACTGCTAGTCGACCAGATATTATGTTCAGTGTCTGCAAGTGTGCAAGATTTAAGTCAGCTCCTAAGGAATCCCATCTCACTGCTGTAAAACGTATTATTAGATACCTTATTGGTACCTCTGAGCTAGGATTATCGTATGATCACTCTAACAATTTTGCCTTAAGAAGATTTTCAGATGCAGATTTTGCAGGTGACAAGATTGACAGAAAAAAGCACCAGTGGCACGTGTCAACATTTGGGAAATTCACTAGTATCTTGGCATAGCAAGAAACAAAATTGTGTTGCCCTATCAACAACTGAAGCAGAATATTTAGCTGTTGGAAGCTGTTGTACACAAGTTCTGTGGATAATGCATCAACTTCTCGACTATGATTTATCTCTTACCTCTATTCCTATGTTTTGTGATAATACCGGTGCTATTTGTTTATCAAAAAAATTTGTGCATCATTCTAGGGCAAAGCATATAAAAATTAAACATCATTTTATTCGTGATCATGTTGCTAAAGGTGATATTGTTGTAGAATTCATAAGTACTGATTCTCAACTTGGTGCTATTTTTACAAAACCCCTTTTGGAAGAAAGATTCTGTTTTCTCCGAAAAAAGATTGGCATTGTGCCTAATTTGTAAAACAAATCTTTTATTTTCTTCTAAAATATCTTATTTCCTTTAGTATGTGTGCTTAACTTTAATTACTTGTAAGTTTAATCATTGTGTTTCCTCAGTACCACTGATCCATCACCTCAGAAACATCATTTCTAAATGCAGATATATTTGCGCAGAAGTGCCCTCGCTTCTACAGTAGGATGGTGCACAGGAGCGGTTAGGTCGTAGGTGTGGCTCCATGATTGCAGGAGCGCATCCGCAGGTGCAGCACTTCTCTCGCAGATGCTAACCCAGGGGACTTACATTAAGTCAGCACCTGTAGTGGAATTTCCGCAGGTGCGATTATAGGCCCGCATATGCGAAATCGCTAGGCAGAAAAGGCTAAGTTCGAGGGTTTGATTTCATTCTCCATTGTTGAACCTAGAGAGCTCGGATTGAGGAAAAATTTTGATGGTTTTTCGGAGGAATCTTGTGGGTAACGATTCTTAACTCCTTTTTGGTTATATCTCATTAATCTATAGTTGATTCCACCCTTTAATTAGGGATTTGAGTTGGGGAATTGAGGTTGGATTCGAGAAATTCTTGTATGGTTGGACTCGTGAGTGAATGGGTGTTCTTGTGACTTATGCCCGATTCTGAGACGTGGGCCCGCAGAGGCTTTTACGGCGATTTTCGAATTTCTTGTTAAAGTCTTAATTTCATTAATTAGATTAGTCTATTATAGTTGTATTTATGATATGTAATTGTGTTTGGCTAAATTTGGGCCATTCGAAGTCGGATAATCAAGGAAAGGGCATTCTTACGGATTGATTTGAGCTTGGTTCGAGGTAAGTGGCTTGCCTAACCTTGTTTGGGGGAACTCCCCTTAGGATTTGGTACTGTTGTGATATGAGAGCGCCGTGTACGTGCGGTGATGAGTGCTTACATGGGCTATTTGTTGTAAAACCTGACTTTTATTGAATAATAACCTATTTTTCCTTAATTAGGTTATACTAGCACGTGTAATTATCCTTTTTAGACTAAAATAGCATGTCTACGTGTCTTAAATGCTTATTTGAACTCAGTGCAATTGCTTAGTGGATTTTCCTGCTTTTTCCTTGACTTGTACTTACTCTAAACTGTAGGATTTCCTGTTGTTACTAGTATTTCTATTGTCTCGAGCTGTGTATTTACTTTGGGACTACGGGACGGTATCCTGGGAGATCCCCCTGCATATTTTCTTTGGGACTACAGGACGGTATCCCGAGAGATTCCGCTACACATTTACTTTTGAGATACGATGCGGTACCTCGGGAGTTCTCCCTTTACATTTACTTTTGGGACTACGAAATGGTATCTCGGGAGATCCCTCCCTATTTATTTTTGTGTTTCATACTGTTACTTATCTGTGGATTTCCTTTCATTTAGTTCCAGTCTTTTATTACATTACAATATTTTCTTTGCCTTAATTATTTTATATACACCAGTGGGCCCTAACCTAACCTCGTCACTACTCGACCGAGGTTAGGCTTGGCATTTACTGGGTACCATTGTGGTGTACTCGTGCTACTCTTCTGCATATGTTGTCGTGTGCAGATCCAGGTACTGCATACCAGTCACGTCATTAGTGAGCAGCGATAGTTGGAGACTTCAAGGTATATCTGCCGCATCCGCAGACCTTGGAGTCCCCCTCTATTCCCTCCTATGTCATTTACCTTTCGTACTTCTTTTGTTAGACTATGATGCATAGAGATACTAGTTTCCTTTTGTAGTTTGTGACTTACAGTGCTCTGGGTTTTGGGAAAAAATGTGTATTACTGAGGAGTTGGTTATTATACATGCCGAGCGACATGGTTATCAGTTATGTTGTTATCTATTGCAGTTAGTTGTTGAGTTTTCACTTCTATTTCTGCTATTTTCATAATTGTTTAGGCTTACCTAGTCGTAGAGACTAGGTGCCGTCACGACGTCTTACAGAGGGGAAATTGGGTCGTTACAAGCTGGTATCAAAGCTCTAGGTGCACAGGTGTCGTGAGTCACAAGCTGGTTTATTAGAGCCTCGCGGATCGGTACGGAGACGTCTGTACTTATCTTCAGGAGGCTATGGAACTATTAGGAAAGTTACACTTCTTTGATTTCTTGTTGTGCGAAGATTTCTTGACTTCAAAATTCTAAACTTCAGTATTCTATTCTCTCACAGATGGTGAGGACACGTACGGGCGGATCCGATGACCAGACACCTGCACCCCTGCTAGAGCCTCCAAACGCCAGGGTCGGGGTAGAGGTTGAGGACGTCCACGTGGTGCAGCCAGAGCACTCGCACGAGATACTACAGAGGAGCCCCCAGTAGCTCCAGCTAGAAAACAGACACCTGAGGTACCTGTTGCCGCACCAGCCCTCCAGTAGACTCTAGCCCAGTTTCTGAGCATGTTCAGCAACTCCTAGTTCCTTGAAAACTCCCAGTAGCCAGATTAATTCAGAGAATGTTAGTGTTGTACTCCTATATTCTGATGATGCTGAACTCCTTGCTACTGTATTCTGCTTTTTTGACTTCCAAGAAACTAGATATTCTCCAAATTTTACTAAGTAACCTGTTACTGATTTTCTTAAGTTTGGGCAACTTACCAGTCTGCATCACAGTATATTCTTAAAGTCATATCACCATCTGCACTCATAAGAATGCCTAATCCTAGTTCATTCTTCAAATATCTTACCAATCGGTATTCTTCCTCTAGGTGAGACTTCTTAGGGGCTTGCATAGACTGGCTTAAAGTCTGCACTATATAGGCAATGTCAGGCCAAGTTAGTGTCAAATATAGAAGCTTTCCTATAAGTCTTTGATAACCTCTCACATCTGTGAGTGCTGGATCATCGTTTAGGTTGCAATGTGCATCATATTCAATTGTTGTTAACTTCCTGTTTTGCTCTATCGGTGTAATTGCAGGTTTAGATCCTGGTAATCCCAATTCTGCTATAAGCTCCACTGCATAGTTCCTTTGACATAGTAATATGCCCTTCTGAGATCTACAAACTTTAATCCCCAAGAAATATTTCAAAAGACCCAAGTCCTTAATTTTGAAGGCTTGTGAAGTATGGTCTTAGCTTCTTGAATCAGAGTTGCATCATTTCCTGTGATAAGAAGATCATCAACATAAAAAAGAATGATGACAAGCTTAGTATCTTTCTTCAGAGTGAATAGAGAATGATCATGCTTGCTTTGCACAAAATTTGCCTTCAACAGTGCTTCAGTAAGTTTCAAGTTCCACTGTCTTGATGTTTGTTTAAGCCCATACAGAGATTCGTGTAGTCTACAAGCCTTGTTCCCCCATTGACTACCAAAACCTAGTGGAACCTGCATGTAGCTTTCCTCCTCAAGATCACCTTGAAGAAAGGCATTATAAACATTCATCTGATAAAGGTTCCACTGGTTCATAGCTGCAAGAGCACTGACTACCCTCACTGTGACCATTTTAACTACTGGAGAAAATGTCTCCTAATAGTCTAGTCCCTCTTGCTGACTATACCCTTTGCCACTAGCCTGGACTTGAACCTTTAAATCTCCCTATTTGATTTGTACTTGATTTTTTACACCCACCTACATCCAATATGAACCTTTCCTTTGGGTACTTCAAGTATTTCCCAAGTGTTATTTAAGACACGTGCATCAATTTTTGTCTGCATAGCTTCAATCCACCTAGGATCTTTTATGCTTCAACATAAGATACAGGTTTCACCTTAGATGTAGTAGCCAAAAATGATTGATACTGTGCTGAAAAAGAAGTGTAATACAAGTAGTTAGACATAGGATAAATACAGTCGGAGGATGAACTTCCATTACCTGGATAGACATAGTTTTTCAGCCATGTTGGTGGTCGTGTATCTCTTAAGGATATCCTCAGTTGAGTTGCTGGAACAACATGCTCATTGACAGGAAAATCATCATGTTGAACCTGTTCAGCATATGCATGTTCATCAACTGTTGCTGGCTGAGTGTCAGAAGTTGGTTCATTATGCAATGGTGCTTGTATGGTGACTGCATTCTGTGCTGCATCAACCTCATTTTCACCCTAAGCTGCAAGTGCCCTTTGGGCAACCATTTAACTATCCCCGAGCTCCAGAAACAATGGCAAGTCTGCACCTTTCATCATTGATTGAAAAGGAAAGGCATTCTCTTAGCATGTCACATCTCTACACACAAAGAATCACTTGCCCTTAAGATCATACAACCTGTAGCCTTTCTGAGATACTAAGTATCCCATGTGGACTACAGCTACAACATGTCAAACTTTTTTGTAACTGTGGCATAGCACAGGAAACCCATGACCCTCAAATGCAATAGGCTTGACTTAGACTTCTGAAGCACCTATAAGGAGATATTCCACCCAAAACTAAGGATGGTACTCTATTTATAAGGTAGATAGTTATTAACATGCAGTCTCCCCAGAAATGCAGTGGAATTCTACCTTAAAATCTAAGTGCCCTTGCCACCTCCAGGATGTGTTATGTCTTTTTTCCACCACTCCATTTTGTTGTGGTGTGTGTGGACAGATGCTTTGATGAAGGACTCTACAACCTGATAAGAAATCCTTACATTCTTTACTAAAAAACTATGCACTGTTATCAGTCATTAACATTTGATCACCTTTCCAAATTGCACATGCACCAGTTTAAAGAATGATTT